AGGACAAAACAATTTAATCCTATCATTAGTGGCCTTCTACTTGTTTCCATACGAAATATGGATGGTACGAAACCCTTCATCATTTCTGACGGAAGTACTTTTGCAATAGTAAATAAGGCTGCCAAATAAAGGAATTTTTTAAAATATGCAAGTGGATCTCATCAATGTTGATTACTTAGTGAAATAATAAAAAATTATAAGGAAAACATTCATAAGACAAGTAGACAAACACTGATACAAGTCGAATAAAAAGTAGAAAGCAAAAGAATTTTTAAAAAATAATAAAACAAAAAAACTTGACAGGCTATCTTTTAAACATAATGATCAGAAGATAAAATACAGCATGATAATGAAAAAATCCATACCTTAATATGCAGTCTACCTTTAGTATTCCAACATACCAGGCTATAATTTACTACAGACGAGACGACAAGAAAAAAATCAAGTTATAGAAAACAAAAGAGTAAGCAGACCTAAAAAAGAAGAGAAAATCTGCCCTTCTGTAGCCCGTAGACAAAGAAATCACAATTTCAATAATTGCCATTAAATACAGAACTGTCCATAAAACAAATTACTGATCAACAGAGACTGCACTACACTTAACAAATCTACAATGATATTTAAACGTAAATAAAAGCAATAACAGGATTTACAATAGCCCCCCAAAAGTATAAAAAGCTAGGACAAATAAGATGCCATGTTTTATGCATAATCAATAACTATAGTTCCAGCAGCTTTTATTTCTTTTCAAGTCCACAGTATATATATGTATATATATATATATATATAATATTTACAGCTAAACTACATCATGCACCAATTCATACCAAGACATTTTTTAGTCCTGTTCAACTTTATCCTACATAAACCCATTGGCACCAGGTGCATACGCTGTCCGCTGTGGTTCTGTTTTATCAATTTTGTAAACACACAAATGGTTTATAACCACTTACGGCTTTGTTAAAACTGTGCGAGGCCCAATCCAATGAATATTCATATTTAAGGACATGCATATACACAGAAATAATTACACATCTATCTGTCTGACAGATATACTTTTATCTCGCTATCCATCCGGTAGATATGCATGTCTAGACTGATAGATATGTATTCATTTCTGTGTATATGCATGTCTGTATAATGAATATTCTTTTAGTTGGGCCTCACACAATTTTAACAAACTGGCCCTTAGTCACCAAGAGTCAATTATTGGCTCTACTCTATCTTACCTGTTTATCTCATTCCTGTTCCCTCATATTTTCTTTTTATTACTATTACTAATAATATAACTTATTACAATTATTATAATCATCATCACCTCTATCATTATATATGTTATTAATAATAGTAAGAACAAAAACATTTCCAAAAACTTCAAGGAATGAGGTAAACAGGTAAAATTAGGTAAGCTTAGCAATTACCTGTTTGTGACAAGGTGGTTCTGGAGACAATTGTGCATAAACAACATTAATAAAACAAAGTCACAGTGGACAATATACATATCCTCATGGTGTCAATAGCTTAAGCTATAAGAAGAAATAATAAGTAAATAAAATATAATTAAATAAAAATAAATAAATATATATATCAATAATGATAATATTAAGTAACAAAAAGTTTCTCTCCTACATTCAGTCTCTTTAAAATCAATACTTAATGCACAAAAGAAGAACTAACTAACATGATAATACAGTGTTATCTTTTATATCTTACAAACTGCTAAGGTATTGAGACAACTACCTTAAAATTTATATGGATATACAAATGCCCATATTTATGATACTGAAGCCTATTTGCCTTCACCCTACGTCCTCAATGCACTCTATTGCATACAGTGAATCATGCCTGCTCAGTTTATTTTAATATTCAAGCATCAGTTATAAAGATATTACAAACACCCTACAAAAAAATCATACTCCTTGAGACAAAGTCCTTACTCAAGATTTAACATTCTTCTATTTACAGTTTTACTTTGCATTCTCTCTCAAATGGAAAAAAATAATAACAATAACAAAGCATCTTCCTCTCTATATTTCATCAAACGTATCTTAACATTTGACAAAATCTGTTGACCATTTACAGATCTATTCATCAGATCACAACACTAAAAAGGTATAATCATACATGTAATGCTACTTTTCTAGTGTACATCTTTTCTATACTGTACTACTTCTTACGATCCAAAGCACTCTTAGAATTCCATGGTTGTTGAAGTAGTATCATGAGATCAAGTAGTAATCATCAGCTACATAAAATTCATTGACGCTCATAATTCTTTTTTCTTTTATTCTGATTTCATATAAGTATCATATGTCACACAATCACTTTCTGAGTAATGTCCAACATTTCAGAATGCATAACTTCATAGAAATTTTATTCTTTCTTGTAACACAGAACACAAAGCACACATTTCAAACCTTTTTTTGTTCCTTTTTTTCTCTTTTCTTATTCATCAAATTTTCCAGTAATATTTTTTTATATACAGTAAACTAGAATCTGGCATAGCATAACTGTGACCAGGCCTTATTGTAAGCGATGCTCACACACAGGCAAAGTTCAACTTGAGTTTTCTTCGCTCATGGGCCGAACTAAGTGCTTGATGGTTTTCCAGTCAGCTTTGTGTCGTGAGATGGTATGCATTTTGAGGTTCCCTTTCAGCGCAGTGCGGTAGGGGCAGTAAAGGCAATGGAATGGCTTCTCACCAGTGTGTATTCGCAAGTGGGCCTGCAAATTTGTCCTGTGACTGAACTCTCGGCCGCAGTATTGGCATACATACTCTCGCTGCAGCTTGTCCTTCTTTCCAAAGAACTCCTCTGACAACATTCCTCCTTCCCCTACCATAGCATTCTGTTGCGACGAAAAGGGTGGGCCGGCGGCACTGCCATGCTGTTGGTGGAGGAGGCGGAGCGCTGGCTGCGTGTCACCCGCGGAGTGAAGGAGGCCCAGAGCAGCCACAGCAGCCTGAGGGAGGACGGGAGAGTCACCATCGGCCGTTAAGTCTTTTAAAGTCTTTAGCCTCACAATGAGGTCGCCTCATTGTTTCATCATACACTTCATTCAAATTGAGGCAAATGGAAGAGGTTCAGTCTCTACAGCAAATTTGCAAAATGATGCTTTTTTTCCCCCTTTTAGCTAGTACTAGATCACAAAAAATTGGCTTAGGCAGGGACAGACACATAAAGCACAGACTATAGTCAACTCAGCTTGAAAGTAGAGGCCTCGGCAGGTTGTACACTTGAAAGAATGATTATTGTGTCCATAAAACAAGCCCAGTTTCTGGTGCTTCTGCAATCATATTTCCACACACAAGTAGAAAAAAAGAAAAGAACAAAACAAGATATGCATGCCCTAGCTAGGCATAAATCCTACCAAACACACATACAGATGCTTATAAATCCACTGTCCTTACAACCACAATCTCAATCAATCAATCAATCAATCAATCTCTCTCTCTCTCACTTTGTTAATTATTTTTCAATAAATAATTATAAGCTTTCTTATCACAAAATATATCAAGGGTCAGCATACCATACAATCTCTCAATATAAAGACGACATATCATCCCTCAAGCTAATAAATCCTTACAATTTGAAAAACTCTTCCGCTTCAAAATATTGATCAAGCCAATTGACGAGGGAATTTGTGAACGTAACTCTGCAAGAAATAATGTTAAAATCTGATCAATCTCCATTTTCTGACAGCATTAGTAAACTTTACCATATGGGACTCAAATAAATAACTAATCAATTAACCATACAATCCAGATTACATGAAGACCACGTCATGAAAAACGCATGAGGGGCAGGTAAAAACAACGTACCATCATGAAAAAATTTGGCCAAGGGCTGGGGTCACTACAGTTTCTCCTAAAGGCCAGAGTGACAGGAATTTGCTGTTATAACAATTTCTGCTAGAGGCCAGGGTGATGGTAATGACTAAACACGAGTCCACAAAGCTCTTGGAGGGTGATTAGACTCAGTGGGTATTTAGGAAGGGGCTATTGCATTATTTCTATCAACAAATGTACCATTCACGACATGAGCCACGAAAGAAAGCCGGCTCCAAGGAATATGCTGTTTCCATGCTCAGGATCCAATGCCTGCCCACCATAATAAGCAGCACAAGTTGTATTCCAAAAAATTGGATATTACAAAAAACAAAAAATAAAAATGATACAATTAACAAAATGTTACTTACAGTTACCATTGCATCAAATGATGGACTACCTTGAGAAATATGTAGTCTGTGCAAGGAAAACAGTCTATTACCATCTGGATAAATCAAAATCATATGACAAATAGTTATTGGAAAATAGCAAAAAAGCTCGAAATGCTTATGAAGAAAAAGAGAAAATAAAATTGCAAAGGGGATGTATGCAGTCTTGTTAAAGCACATGAATGTTCATTTGCACCTGGCCTACAAGCCACACACCCATCAGAGTGGCTGCTAAAGGAAGCATAATGCCTGTATGTTGGGCCACAAATGGGCAGTGAAGCATCTGGATCCACTGAGTTAATAATAATAATAATAATAATTTAAAAATCTACAGTCCTCATACTCCTCTTACTATGGTAACTACCAGCACATGAAAATCCCTTAATGCATCCGTAAATACACGTATTCTTACAATATCCAGCATCAGAACTCAAGATCAAAATGTTCTTCTCCATTAACAATAATAGCTTTCCTTTTTTTTTCAAACAAACAAAAGAAAAGTTAAAACTATTGCAGACACACAAGCAATATCTATGATGTTACAAATCATAGAACTCACATGATGAAAAAAGGTCTCAAAGTAACCTACTTAACATAAAACACTGGAAAGTCAAAACAACTTTGTCCAAGTCTCTAAAAAGTAATTGAAATGAAAATAAAAACAAAAGCAAAGTGCTGGCAACCGAGTTCACAAAGTTCAATGATAATTAGGGACACCAGCAGAAATTTTATGCACAGATGTATGGACTCCACAATGTCAGGACACCAAGGACACCATAATGAAAATCACTGAACCAAAAGTACTGTATCAAAACTTGTCAGACAGATTAATAAACAACACATAAGTTAACACTACATTACAAAAATTAATTTATTACTAAAGTTTTAGAAATATGTTCATAGTACCTCTTTTTCTTCCTTCAACTCCCAGTAGATAAGTACCTTCTGTCTATTTACAACTCCTAAATTTCACCACTATATCGCTCCTTATGTATATCTCACTTATCTCTCTACTGCATTCTAAACACTAGAGTCAACTTAAGATGGCAAGAATGAGATCTATAAGTGATGCAGAACTCAGTAATAGTGTTTATTTTTCATGAAATTGTTTATGACATTAAAAACATATATCAGAACATACCATAACAAAGAAGAAAAGGAATCAATATTTTCTTTTGGTTTGAAATTAAACAATTAACCAAAAATCAAATCTTACATACTTATGTAAATTAATTTCTATGCTGCTCGACTTACATAGACTCCGCAAAATGTATGCCATTAAATTTACCATTAAATATGGAGGTATTAAATCAAAAAACATTTCTATACAATATCAACTCAAAGTACATTTGAGCCATTACTGGTATGGCTTCGTGGGTAAGCAGTCACTCCTTTTAAACAGACTTTATATCAGAAGCATGTATTAAGCATGAAAATTTACAGCAAAATGCCCAAAGTTTGAAGAGATAGTGAAATCACAGCCAGTCTTTCATAATATTACCCTTTTTTTATACCTTCTAGCATTTTTTACTAAAAAATCATAAACTTTCTTACTGTTGCTGTACTTATTTCCATTATCAGATGTAACACTATTTGCATGGTAATATTCCTAATGCAAGAATAGGTCTAAACAAGACACTTCAAAAACAAATACCCAAGCAAAAAATAACACACTACCCATTACTTAGATCTTAAAAATGGTCTTGCAATGAACTAGAAATTAGAGACAAATCTCCCTGGTACTAAATAAAGTTCAGTTTGTATATTGCTTTTACTACAATGCAAACATCATCATATCACCTATGATTCCTCATAACTAATTACAGAGAACATAAAAAATAAGAACAGTTGATTAACATCCTCAGCTTTTTCTATGCACAAAAACTAAGAATAGCAGCCAATCCCACATTTTCAAAAACAAACAAAGATGCAAACATACCGAATAAGTGTCACTCTAATCATATTTCTTTGCATCAACTGACAAGTTCCTAACTACCCTTTAGCTCTTATCCTTTCAATAAGCATCACCTTCAATCTAATTGTTAGCTACATTTTGCAAGCGTGAACAATTCTGCTTAGGAAGGAGCTAAAAAAATATAGAATAATTTAGATAGATATAGATAGATAGATATAGATAGATATATAAAATAAAATAAAATAAATAAAAAATACAATGTCATTTTTGTATTTATTCTAAAATCAAAACACTTGTGACTTAAACAAATGCCCGAAGACTATCTGTAAAGATAGAATACATTCCCTGCAATCTGGCCATGCAGTCCACTAATTGCTTCATCCTTTCTTGAGTGATTTTAGAAAATCCCTCAGACGTCCATCTTAGGATCATATCCAACTTGAAAGTCAAATACATTTCATTCACCTTCCAATATCTGATGTATGTCAACAACATCCATGAAAAATATTTTGCAATTATTGGTCGTAAAAGTTTTCCTTTTCGTGCTATTCACACAGTTCTTCAGGATTCTGAAGGCAAGACATTGATCTTGGAAAATGGGCAAAGTAGTTCTAACAAAACACACAGACCAACTGAGTTCTGACTGGGTTCCAGCTCCCTGCCCATTCATCATGACCACCATGACATCTATCATGTTGTGTGCATGTACTTCTCTCTAACATCTTCCTCTTAGTTGCTTTTGTAAGTGGGCATCAGTAGCACTTGTCTTGATACTGCTGGTTTCTTCGACCATTCCACTGTGAGGTTATAGTGAAGGCTTGCTTTATGCGAAATTTCAACAGAAGATAAACCAGTTTTCAAGATTTTTCTTCCTTTTCCTACAATACCTGTAACTTGCCTTTTGTTTTACGAACGAAACATATGAAAGTACATTACAATTCAGAAAACTATTTCAGAAAAAAATATTTAATAGGATAAACAACCACAATGAAATAGAGAAAAAGTGTTGCAACAAGTCTACAACATCTTCAGGAAGCTGACAACACAAATCTAACAAGTTAACAAGGGAAAATCAAGGGAAACACAGTGCTTAGCTTAGCCAAGTAAACATATTTATAGTCAAACAATGATAATCTACTCATTGCCAACAGATAACAGTGTCAGACCAAAGAGTAGTTCTCCTTGTGTCCTTAAAAAGATTTAGACAATTCAAACTTCTGCAAAATAAACAAGATGACAGCAGAAGCAGTAGACGTACTTAGATATACAATTTTCCTATTTCATGCAGTTTTTCATGATATATAGAAAAAGAGAATTTACTATTGAAACATTACTCTACAGCAGCTAATACATCATCATGAACTCAAATGTATAAACCCTTTATAAATGTGCATGATATAAATCATACATGAGCAGCTGATACTAATATATGCCTGAACGTAAAACATGAACATATGACCGCACACGCAAACAGTAAAATGTTTAACAAACCTTTTCAACAATACAATAGAAAATGCTTTTTATCTCTCCTTTTCAAAAATTGCTCACAAATTCCATATATTTTTCTTTTGTTAATTTCATGTGATTGCAATATTGGATACTGAAAAATCAGATACAGTTTGTGACTGGGCAATAATATACATAAATCACACTATATTATCTACTTTCCATAAAAACCTATATTCACTAGTTTCCAAATGTTTAAAGAAATGTACAACTTTCAAAAATAAATAAAACAAATAATAAACATAATTATAAAAGACATATAAATGTATACATACAAATATAATATAGAATACATATATGTATACATTAAATATATATATATATATATATATATATATATATATATATATATATATATATATATAATATAATATATAAATACCCAAAATACATAAAAATATAAATAATTTTATATACTATATATATATATATATATAATATATATAATAATATATTAATATTATATATATATAATAAAAGCAACAAAGACCTAAATACAAACAAAGGAAAAAAAAAATAAAAAAAAATAACATCCATCCAACAGAATGAAATCAATACCACAAATCACTCCCTCAAATATGTCATTAAAAGAAACAAAAATGATGCATCTCAACTAACCTTCTGTTGTTGATGGTGCGCCAAGGGAGTGTGGGAAACCGTTGCAGCCGATAAGTTGTGTCCCGGCAGAGCTCTCGCACCTGATACACCATCCCATGACTCTAAATTTACCTGTAAGTAACAGCAAATCATGGCTTAATATTGCGCCCAATAAAAAAAAATTCTCACATAAATACACTAGCCTTTATTCTAAATCAGTAAAGATGAATGTCAAATTTTAAACAAGAATAAGATGACACTATTGTAAGCTACCCTACATAGGGATTTTATATTATAAAAAGAATTATAAGAAAGAGAGAGAAGGGACAAAAATTAAGATCATAGGCAGATGGTTATATCATGTACACTAATTACAACTCAGCTGAGTAAATTCAAGAATGCCTCATCATATGATCTGGGATTTCAGGGTGACCCCTCTAAGAGTGGGAAAAGACACTGTCAATGGATGAGCACTCGAGTAACACTGAGTGTACTTTAAAAGCTTGATGTTGTAATACCTTATTCATTAATTCCTCTGTACACTTCATACCAATCTTCACTTTGGCAAATTGGAGTGCAACAAATCTTTTCTCTGTCAAACTGAAGCCAATCTTATTAACCCTTTCACTACCTAGTATCTTGTCAAAATGCAAAAAATGCATTTCACTAGGGTACCAACTCACCACTCACTCATCTGCACTGCTGTAAGTAATTTTTCAACTTATTCTGACACCTATATTATTCAGAGAATGTTACTTCTTTTTATGTCTTCTATGCGATATTAGGCCACAGCAATTTTTTTCTTGAATAGCAGACCAGCCTACATTTATTTCCAATTTTTTTTATGAGAAAAAAAAATTTTTTTCAAATTTCACGCTGATATTGTGACATCCGCGATTTTTTTTTTCGGATTTGTTTTGCCCTCCCACCAACATTTCATTATCACAAGACTTGCTTGCTATTCAAGAAAAAAATTGCTGTGGCCTTATCTATGAAAAAAAGTAATTACTCTGACTGTACTAGTTCCCAAGAGACAGGGAAACAAAATTCTTCACAATTTGCCATATATGGATCAATGACATAGTATAAGAAAATATAAAATATAAAGCCTAATCTCCAAAAATGATATCACAATATTAAAAATATCTTGTACGAAGCTCTGGACATTCCATTATGTCCTGTGATGTATGGATTGTGCCACTAACATATAGAGGTTTGTGTTAATATACGCCACCATTTTTGCTACCACATGATCTTAAATAATCCAGAAACCTAGTAATGGCCACTCTTGAATACTGACCTATCATAGCTTTGATACAAGTGTCACAGGTTGCACATCCCGTGAGACATAGGTGCCAAAAACATACATTTGATACCCAATGGGTTAAAAGACACTTCTTTCCTTTAGATTAATTTTCACAAGCTTTCTCAAAATCATAACTCACATGTGGATGGATTCCTGAGTGATGTTCCATGTTTTCCTCACTTGTGAGAGTTGACTGTAGCATGTCGGAGAAATTCGCTCCTAAGTCATCGTCCATAACATTTCCATTGTCTTTTCCTTCCACCTATATGGAAAAAAAAATATGTATAATTTGGATAAAAATAATTGTTTGTTTAAGTTGACACAGTAAAAAATAAAGAAGCACAAAAATAGGGATGAAGCTATAATTGATAATTACTGAGACATCAAAAATTCCACACATAAAATTTCAGCAACTTCTGACACTCCAGGATATTTGTCCAAAATCAAGCAGCTGGTAATTTTATTCTTCTCTCACAATACAAACGGTCACATCCATATTATTAATTTAATTATCATTACCAGTTTTCTATTACTAAACTTAAAATTTTAAGATGCCTATCAAAATCAAACATGCTTTCAAGATTATGACTAGAATTCATTTTATACATGACCAATGAGCATCAATATACAAAAGAATTAGTATCAACCTCCTAAATTCATGACCAAAGAACAATGATGCCCTCAAAACACTACCTTTGTCCGAACTCCGTCCTCAGACTCTGGTGCATAAGGCTCGCCATCAAAGCTCGAGGGGTTGGAGTTCAAGGGGATGTCGTAGTTGTCCTGGTATTCAAGGTCCTGTTCTATTTTTATGTGAGGTAGTGGTGGCGGCTCCATAGCTTCTCCTTCTGCCTCACCGGCTGCCACCTGCGACAACAAAATCGTTCATTACTTTTTCTTTCTTCCTTTCTTAACTCTTTCTCCCACTCTATCTCCACACTAGATTGTTCATAACTCTATTGATAATGATGACTTGAAGTTTCTCCTTTAATTCAGTTATCCTTAACCCAACATCGCCGGGAAAATGTTGTGCTCACCGTAGTATTGTTTAGTGAAATGTCTGCACACAGATGGTTCTGCAAGTACTTATCCACAAGGGAATCAATTTGTGGACCTTATTACATCACCTGATTTCACCTTTCCCTGAGTTTGCAAGAAAAATATTCTATTTTTTAACTAATCCTATCAATATCAATCCTGTTTTCTTATTACAATTATAATTATCATAGGGTCATACCATGTCAAATAATCTACATGATATAACCCACCAAGTCAGACTGCTCTGATTTCTAAATTATAAGTAGATATAATTAAGATATGGCCTGAAATCAAGTTTCATCCCAATGTGTTCAATGGTTCAAAGAATATGACCATTTGACTATTACCATATTTCATCAAAGTTTGTCAACTGTGACCGTTAAAATTATTACTTTGGGTAACCTTTCAATGATATTAAGATCGCTAACATATGATCCCCACATGCAAGATTTGGTACACTATGGTTTTTAAGGTAGAGGAATCAGTATCTGCAATCAGAATTGTGATATCTTGCCTATAAATACCTATATTCGTATGCTGAAAATAAAATCTTATTTCCAATTTTTTTTCCTTCAAATTTCCATTAACTAATGCATAAAAATCAGAATGTCTACAAAATACAATAATCCTGTTTGCTGATTTCTGAATCAGAGAGTGAGAAAGAGTGAGAGAGAAAGAGAAAGAGAGAGAGAGAAGAAGAGAGAGAGAGAAGAGAGACGAAGAAGAGAAAGAGAGAGAGAAAGAGAGAGAAGAGAGAAAGAAAGAGAAGAGAAAGAGAAGAGAAAGAGAGAGAGAGAGAGAGAGAGAGAGAGAGAGAGAGAGAGAGAGAGAGAGAGAGAGAGAGAGAGAGAGAGAGAGAGAGAGAGAGAGAGAGAGAGAGAGAGAGAGAGAGAGAGAGAGAAGAGAGAGAGAGAGAGAGACAGAAGAGAGAGAGAGAGAGAGACAGAGAGAGAGAGAGAGAGAGAGAGAGAGAGAGAGAGAGAGACAGAGAGAGAGAGAGAGAGACAGAGAGAGAGACAGAGAGACAGAGAGAGAGAGAGACAGAGAGAGAGAGAGAGACAGAGAGAGAGACAGAGAGAGAGACAGAGAGAGACAGAGAGACAGAGAGACAGAGAGACACAGAGAGACAGAGAGAGAGAGTGCATGAGTGAATGAGTAAATGTAAGGGACATAGTGTGAGTGAGTGAGTGAGTGCATGAGTGAATGAGTAAACATAAGGGAAATAGTGTGAGTGAGTGAGTAAATGGTGAGTGAGTAAGAGTAAAAATGAGTGCATGCATGTACATGTACGTCATATGTAAGGTAGCACACGTGTAGGCACACATACAAGGGAGTTTTTGTATCTATGTTTATAAGTATAAGTATTTACATGAGTGCATGCATGTATGAATGACAGTATCTGCATATAAGCCTACACATGTATTCTTACTCATCACTGCATTCTAAAAATCACATATGAAAGAAAACCAAACTGAACAAATAAAATTAGACAATGACAATATCACCATTCTCAACTCACTTCTGACTCCTGTGGGGGCTGAGGTAAGCACGGCTCATCACTGGGCTTGTCTTCCAGGGGTCGGTCTACATGCGGCACCACAGTGCTTGGTTCAACTTCCGGGGGAGGGTTGCTAGATCTCCGCTCATCCCCCTTTCGCCTCTTGGCAGGGGGGCTACTGCTACGTTCACCAAGCTGCTGCTGCTGCGGCTGCTGCTCCACTGGACGCTGCCTCGTCCCAGAAAACCCGCTGTTATTGTTGTTGGGGGTGGTGGTATTGGTAGTGGCCGCTGCTGCATGCTTAGGTTCTTCATCTGGCACAGCTAAACCTTTCACTCTGAGACACTCGGCAGCCTTTATAAGGGACGAGAGTTCATTCTGTCTCACATTCACTTCACCTATGTACATATAGTCTAGCAAGAACTCTAAATCACGACACTGTATGTCCTTAAGAACTACAACCGGGTTTTTGCATGGCGTGCGGTCAAAAATGTCACTAAAGTATTCACTACAAGTTGATAGAACCAGTTTATGGACGGGGTAGAACTTGCCCTCACATGCCAGGGTTACATCAGTGTAGCTACCCTGCAAATATAGAAAAAAAATGAAAAGAAAAGACAATAAGAGAAAGCAGGGAATTCAAAAAGGTAACTAATGAGTGTATTGATTAGTAATATGTCAAATCATCAATTTCAAGATATAGATAAGGGAAACTTATCAAATATACGAAACATTTAAAATAATAGAAATCAACAGATAATGCAAAGGAGAAAGAGACGGAGGGTAAACAAACCTTTGTCCGTAACCCACTGATGATGTGGTAAAAAATACTCTGATGGTTGTTCCACTTTAGTGCTAACACTTCAGCCTCCATTTTCACTAAGGTTATAATGTGAAGGTCATATAAACCTGTCGAAGAAAAAAATGTTAGACTTTTTTCTGCAGAAATTTTGGAAAACATGAGAAAAATTATATAAAATGACTACGATTAGCTAATACATACACTGGTATTACTATTCAAGCAAACTCTATTGAATAAATATTTTCAGATGTGAATATGAAAAGACAAAATGTAGGTTGAAGACAGAAAGTGAAACAGATTACTTACTTAATACCATTTCTCTACTACCTTCTTTTATCATAATAACCCCACAACATACAAATAAATACACACACACACACACACACACACACACACACACACACACACACACACACACACACACACACACACACACACACACACACACACACTGCAAGCTCATTAAAATATCATAAATATGTGACACAAAACACTGAAAATCATCCTCAGTTAATAGCTACATTAATTATGAATATAAACACAGTCTTCGGCATAGCTTTTGATTCACCTAGTCTTGATACAAGCATCATTTTACCTAGTACTGATATCATCGCCTCTTCATTCTGCTAATCAAATATAAAGTGATCAAGAGGAAAGTTAGCCATAAGTGTCTGTCCAATTTCTTATCTAAATTATGGGTAAATCAAATCATTCAACTTCTAACTCAAAGGTTAAAGTTACGAAGAGCAACACACAGAAATAGAGGGAAATGGGCACTGCCTTCTTATTGTCCATAAAAAATAGAACTTTGCACAGGTACAGCTGCTTCAGCCTCTGACGAAAATATACGTTTCATATCACCGCTCAGAAACTAAATTCACAACACCCTTACAGCCAGAGATTTAATGTCCGTTTTCTATAAGTCTCTGGAGGATGCATCACACTGGGAAAGAAATACCACATTAAATCATTACATAAAAATGTCTTTATCATTGGGTATGATATTCCTTCATAATCTCACTATCAAACTTTGATAAAAAAAGACTTTCATCACATAATATACATTCTGGGAAATACAGCTCTGACCGGTTCCTTAAATGATGTAAAGTGCCACGGCATCTACAAGTTCTATCTTTCCAGATTAATATGTTGCAGAGGTTTGTTATTTTTACCATAATGCCAACAAGTGCAGATTCTTCACCTATTTCCAATTGCACAGATATCTAATAAACATTTAACATCACCATAAACCAACCACAAATTCAATTCATATACCTAAACTAACAACGCACTGTTAACTCCACCAAAAGATACCGTGTATATCAGATACCGTGGACTCACAATAACTGAACAAAAATCACCCCCCTAAATCCACCACAACAAATAAAAAACTCTATAACCCCTGTAAACACATAAATTACTAAACATTCACCCCATACTTCCTATAAATGCACAACAGACCCAACCAAAACACACCAAAATCTAAGCCAAAAATTCCCTCTGGATCCTCAACCAACTCCTTTCAACCCTCTTCTAAATTCCCCAAAGCGTCACCACATACTCACCAGAAACCCAACACATACTTCTCATAAATCCAAGCATAAGTCAACCACATGCCACCATAATCCTTACGCTAAATCAAACCCAAAAATCACCAAAAATACTCGCAGTTATTCATCCATTACACTCGAGGAGTACAAAGGGGGGAACACCAACACGACTTTACGACTCGTGATTTTGCTTTTATAAGTATTTCTGTAATTACCGTCTACCTATTTGACTTCGAATAACGTTGCTTTGTTATTCTACAGGGTCAAAAAGGTAATCAGGAAAGAGGAAAGGTTTATTTATCTTAATAAAAAACCGCCTCTCCATTGTGAAGCTTGGGTCAGTCCCGCTTCCATGGAGGTGGAAAAAAAAGTTTGCTGTAATTACGCCCAAGATAAGCCTTTAATACGGCCGGAATTGAGATTAGATTGACGTAGATGGGAGAGACTTACCGCTGGTGTCTTCAAGAGTCGTCAAATATGGAGAGAGTTAAGCTAAAGGGTATAAAAATAGGGTGAAAGAACGTACAGTCAGTCTCTGCCTTGACTTCACCCTCATCACAACACCTCAGATTG